ATTACTTATATCTAGGTCGATATCAACGACGAAGAGGCGTTGACACCCAACTACTTCATCCTGTTGGGACCATCGGGCTTACCAGTCACCGTGCCGTGCACACCCATCGTTGGGCGTGGAGAGCGGCGCAGGGGTTCACCGACGAGTACTGGAGGCGCTGGGTGAAAGAGTACCTGCCGAAGCTGGTTGCGCACGGGGACTCCCGAGACGCTCAGCAGCGTCAAATACAAGAAGAGGACCTCGTCGTGGTTGCGGACGGCAACCTACCAAGGAACGTGTGGCCGAGGGGGGTAGTAACGAAGACATTTCCTGGACCGGACGGCGTGGTGCGCAACGTCGAGGTCAGGACCAGGAGCGCAGTGCTGCGGCGTCTAGCCGTCCTCCCGAGGGAAGCTTAGGCTCGCATGCTACGCCGGGGGAAGGATGTTACGGACGACGAGGGGAGCCGCCGCCCCGTCGCCCCTTCATACCCCGTTGCGCCCCGCGCACTTCGCACACCGCTAGCAGATCACGCGATGTCGCCGACCAATCAGCGCGCGGCATCACCTCTCGACGCTACTCACATACTGAGACGCTATCTTGCGAGATATAAGAAGAGCGTTTTGGTCTGTGAGCTGTTCATTTCGGAAGCGGCACTCGAAGACAACAGCAAGAGAAGAAACCTCAAGAGAAATCAAGAGAGAAGAATTTATACTCCATTGAAGACTCCCCTCTGTTTATATAGTTAATTAGTGAAAGCCGCATTTGTAAATAGTTTAATACATTATAGTCTACAGTACCATCTTTTCTTTAATCAGTCCCTAGTTTAGTTTACCTCAAACATCAGTCAGTCAGTTAGTCAATATAGTCCACACAGTCCACTTCTGTCCCTATTACAGGTATCATCACTCTAGAACAAGGATGTAAAATGTACACTGCGTTTGTTACACTTCTTGCTGAGGACATTGCTGAGGACACAAAAACGATCAACATCAGCCATCTTTTTATCTCTGTGGATATTGAACACATTTTCGTCCCAGATGAAATTAAGCTACAACAACCAGAACTTGCACCAATCCAGCTCAAAAACATCCTACTTGTTTCTCTTAACTCAGTAAAAGACCAAATAAAAACACTTGTGTGTGTTTTACTTAAAGAAACTAAATCTACATTCTTAGAAAAACATGTAATAAAATTTTCCATATTAAGTACAATTACTGGCATCATTATGCTAACACATTTTTGTAGTAAATGTTATAAATGCTTGCCATGGAATAACATGCCCACAAATCCACATTTTTTTGCCCACAAACGAGCAACAGTCCACCTGATGGTAAGTGGTGCTGTGGCCCATAGACATTACATCTATCCTCGTTTGTGAATCAAAATGCAGAGCGTTGTCACACGTGAGGATTAAGATGGAATGCCTCTTATCCAGTTAAAAGGGTCTCCGGTGCTCTACAATCACCATACGAAATACAGCAGTGTTAAGCTGCTGTTTTACGCTGGTATTCTATGAGAGCGTGGTCCTTCCCCGGTCGAGCCAACCCATTCGTGCTACAACTATACTACTAATATAGCTGCAGCATGGCTCTACCACGTATAAAATGGTAACTCTATACAAAGTTTTAATAATTGCTTTGACCGTTCCCGTCGCTGACAATACGTCGAGATTCCCATATCATCACTAAAAATCACTGCTACAACATTCTGTATATTTATTTATTTATTTATTTATTTATTCTTTATTGCATTCCTTAATCTAAAAGAATACAAAGGGCGGACTTAATGCCTTGTGGCATTCTCTACCAGTCAACCCATGGAGTGATGAGAATTTGAAGTGGGTGTAGCAATATAGAATAAAAACAAAATAGAAATTTATAATTAATTACGGTATATATACATTTTACTAATATATACAATAAATAAACTATAAAAATATATCCTAACTATAAAAATATATAAAAATACAAAATAAAGCGTTAAGGGTTATTGGTGGTTTTATCAAAAGTTCTCCAATACATGTAATGGAAAGCGAACTAAGCGTACCTCCACTTCATATTAGAAGACTATATCTAGCTTATAAATATGTTTTAAAAGCCAGCTCTTTTTCCAATAATGTTACAATTAATTCTTTAAAGCAACTTAGCACTCTCTGTGAAACAAGATATTGGCAACGCAAGAAAATCCCACTATTAGTTAAATCTTATAATAAGACTAAAATTATGAATATAAAATCATCCCCTTTTCTCGAATCATTTTCGCTTAGCACTTGGTTGTCCCGCATTGATATTGAAAATATATTATTAAGTAAATTAGAGTCTGTAAAACAATCCAAAAAATTATATGAAAAAAATTCTCTTAAACTAAATATTATTGAAGAACTTGAAAATAAATACCACGATTGGCATAAAATCTACACAGATGGATCAAAGAGTGCTAAGTTGCAAGGAGCAGCTTTTTTCGACTCATCTCGAGCAATTTCTAGATGTTATAAAGTTACTAATGACGTTTGTATTATGACCCTTGAACTCATTGCAATATCCGAAGCCCTAAGGTATGCCGCAAGCTATAACTGGGACAAAATTATTGTATACTCGGACAGCAAAACTGCTATCCAACACTTGGCTCGATCCGCCTCTGGAATCAGAGGTGTTTCGATAGCCTATACCATACTTTCCCAACTATATGAGTTCAGTCTACGCGATATCTGTGCAAAAGTGCAATGGATTCCATCACACATTGGTCTATTGGGTAATGAGGAGGCAGATAGATTAGCGAATTCTGCTTGTGTAAATGGTGTAGAGTATAATATTAACCCCTGTTACTCAGAAGTACTGCCAAAATTCAGAAATTTATGTCATACCGAATGGAAAGAGTTTTTCAATGAACGCTCCAAAACTAAAGGTATTTGGTACAAAACGATACAGAGTGAGCCACCCCGAATACCCTGGTTTATAGATACAAAAATAAATAGAAATATTATTAAAATAATGTTTAGAATAAGAACAGGTCACATCCCATCAAAAAAATTTTCTTATCTGATGAAAAAAACTGATTCACCTAATTGTGAAACGTGTGGAGTAATAGAAGACTTACATCATTTTTTAATGGAATGTGAGCGGAACCGAGGGGCAAGGGAATTATTTATAAGGACCTATAAGATAAATATGTACAATATGGGTATTGCGCAAGGCATTCTACATGCCCCCACCTCGGATATTGCATTGAGTATGTGCAGATTAATAATAAATGTATAGATTTTAAATTAGTTATAATGGGATTGACATATTAACAAATAAAAATCCCTAAATAAATAAAGAGAAAAAAAAAATATATCCTATTTATACATGTATACAAATATATACGTACACACATAAGCATACATATATTCATACCAACATACATATACAAATAATACATATAAATAACTATAAATATATACGTCTAAAATATAAATGACATGGATGATTCATCTAAGAAGCGTTGTCTTTAACAGATGATTACGCACCAACTTTTTAAAAGCAAACTTATTGGGAGCTTTTCTGATATCGTCAGGCAAGGAGTTGCAAAGGCGTGCAGCCTGAACTGTAAAGGAGTTACCATAGAACTCGGTGAAGTGAACTGGAATACATATTTTGTTGTTAGAAGATGAACGTAGAACCCTATATCAGAAGATAAAGACGATACTGTTGACTACACTCAAAAATCGAGGAAAACCGCTCACTCTTTGTTCTAAATGGGGAGGTGTTATGTCATAGTTACTATTGTTATGTTATAGATACTATTTACTTTATAGTATGTTATAAGTCCTATATATTTTATATTGTTTATTTACTTAAAAGCTAAATTATATTGTTTACTTGATTAGAAGCCAAACTAATTAAATTGTAATATTTAAATGCTAATTTTTATTGTTCCAAATCTTGCCATTCCTAATTGTATCTTAGAATAAGTTAATGATAACACAAACAAGAGTAATGTTGTTCCCTTATCTGTACCCCCACCTCCTAGCTTTTTACACTATTTTTAAACCAAATTTTTCGATCCCTCAACACAATTCTATTTCCAAGTTCTCTGTATCAACTTCTGTATTAGTTTTCCAAGTATTAAATAAATTTATTTTTAAAAGAGCTATTGTCTCTGCTACATAACACATATATGTTCAGCTGTTTAACGCTTAGTTCTTAGACTTAATTGGGAAAGACAAGAGGCAAAATCCCCTTGTCTTCTCAACTCAACATTTCACTTAAATTTTTTTTAAAAGCCGATTTTGAATAAAAATATTTGACGTTGATTTCGACTAACATGAATTATAACGCGGTAGAGCCACGCTGCTGCTATATTGGTTGTACCGATCCAGGATCACGGTCTCACAGAATATCAACGTGAAATAGCAGCACAAGACTGATATATTTCGTATAGCGAGTGTAGAATACCGTTGTCCTCAGGGGGGCAACGAATTTGTATTTTATTTCTTAATCGAGGATAAGTGTAGATGTCTATGGGTCACAGCATTCACTTACCATCAGGTAAATGAATGCTGCGGCTTCACTTACCATCATCAATGCTGTGGCCCATATGAGTGCCACCCTTATTCTATTTAAAAAAAAGGTTAATTTATTTTTATTTTCGACGCAACGTGTTACTGAAACCGGTTTCTAATAAAACTACTCATCGAATCTCTATTTCTCATTTTTTACTGCCACATCAGTCAATTACGCACAAGCGTATCGTCAAGGGTTCTGAATTCTATTTAAATATTTTTTAATAGTGAGATTTTGTAACGAACTAAACTTTATCAAATTATAATTCTTATAACGAAAATAATTTTATTTTTAAATATTGTGATTTCACATTGTATGTATAGTATGTAAACCAAAAGATTAACAATTTTTGTGTTATTTTTTCCTATGTGACCAGTGCCGACATTACAAAAAACAAGGGAAAGTGATTGCCTCAATTAACTTGGCAAGTTAAAATATTGTGATTTCATTTTTATTTTACAAAAGACCATTAAAATGAATGCTGAAAACTTTGGATCTAATCAAGAGCATGAAATAGAAATTATTGAAATAATGAAGAAATTTGGGAAATATCAAAAGGTCCAGTATTTTTACGCTTGTCTTGCGGCGTTTTTCATCACAATGATTCACATCAACTATGTATTCGTTGCTGGGGATATCAACTATCGGTATGTACGAGAATAATAATAATATTATATTTGTTTTACAAAAGGGAGTCATAAAATATATTCATAAATAAAATTGTAAAGATTTTCCCAGAGAAAAGTTTACGTGTCTATAAACATAAAGCGTCTGATTGTAATATCAAAATAACATCTTTTTACTAAGATTAAATTAAAATTTTACGGCTTTTTAAATTAATATTGTGAATCCAGAATATTCTTTTTCTTCGAATTTTATACGTGGTAGAGCCATGCTGCAGCTAGGTATATTAATAGTATAGTTGTAGTACGAATGGGTCGGCTCGACCGGGGAAGGACCACGCTTTCACAGAATACCAGCGTAAAATAGCAGCTTAATGCTGCTGTGTTTCGTATGGTGAGTATAGAGAACCGGAGACCCATTTTACTGGAAAAGAGGCGTTCCATCTTAGTCCTCACAGCAGACAACGCATCTGCATTTTAATTCGCAACTATCGGTATATACGAGAATAATTATAATATTACATTTGTTTTGCGAAAGGGTGTCATAAAATCTATTCATAACTGAAATTGTAAAGATTTTCCCAGAGAAAAGTTCATGTGTCTATAAACTTGAAGCGTTTGATTGTAATAATATCAAAATAACATCTTTTTACTAAGATTAAAGTAAACTGTACGGCATTTTAAATTAATATTGTGTATCCAGAATATTCTTTTTTATCGAATTTTATTTTCTCCTTCCTCTGCCAATAAGCAGGCTATTACAACGATGCTTTTCCATAGCGATCCGAGCGATTCCGAGCGATTAATGTCACTGTACCGTTTCACACCAGTGGTTGTAAAAAACTGCAAAAGTTGCTGTTGAGTGTTGTGTTGTGTTGCGTGTTGTAATCGGCAATTGGGTTTTTCTGTGAAGAAATTCTCACTGCCCTGTTGACCCATCTCCGTAACCCGGACAGTCTCTCTCCGGTTATGTCGTATTGCCACCCAACTGGCTTTAGAGTGAGAAAATAGAGAGTATATTTGTACAATATAATACAATCATACAGTACATACAATCTGTACTGCTATTGTGTCTAGCCTAGATGCCTAGTCTCTGTTTATTGTCGTGACAGAAATGTCTATTTATTGTTCTGAAGGACTCAGACAGTATGACGTCATTTTGCTACACCACGGTGCCGCTGAAATCTGAAATATGCCAATAAGGAAACATAAATGTTGGCCGATCATCTCACTCGTACATGACTTGCAGCTCTGTTTCATCCTGTACCATAAGAAAAAACATTTCGTGGTTGAAATTTTAATTTGCAGGCGTAATTCACTTTCGGATTGTTTATATTGTAAAATGTTTACCATTTGCTATTTTTCTTTATTATTATTTGTTTTTATTGTTGTTTCTAAAGTTTATAAGAAGTTATTTTTCAACCCACTAACAACACCGAAAAAAGCAATATACCTAGTCAGGTCATAAGTATTGTCACACAGTAAAAACTTTTCTTTTAGAATGCTGGCCACAAAAAAGTTTATTGAATTCGAATTTCGAATTGTTCATGAAAATAAAACTGTATACTTTTTAGAATTTTACTCATTTTTAAATATGGAGTGGACGCTTAAAGAAGACCGTGTTGCAGTTATTGCATTGCATCGTTGCGGTTACGCGCCAATTCAAATTTTTGACATACTGAAAAATTTGAATATAACCGAAAGATTCGTTTATCGTACCATCAAACGATACAATGGAGACTCTAGTGTAGATGACAGGTCAAGAAGTGGTCGCCCTCGGTCTGTTAGGACTCCAGCAGTGATAAAAGCTGTGAAAGCGCGAATTCAAAGAAATCCCAAACGTAAGCAGAAACTGTTGGCCCTTCAGATGAGGTTAAGCAGAACCACGGTGAAAAGGGTGTTAAATGAAGACTTAGGGCTTCGGGCATATCGAATAAAAACAGGACATCGTTTGAATGCTCGTCTATTGGACCTGAGACTGAAGAGATGCCGCGCTTTGTTGAAGCGGTACGCGGGAAAAAATATCGGGAAATTCTTTATTCGGATGAAAAAATTTTTACCGTAGAAGAGAGCTACAACAAACAAAATGATAAGGTGTACGCATACAGTAGTGAAGAAGCGAGCAACCGTATTCTGCGTGTCCAACGAGGTCATTTTCCATCCTCGCTCATGGTATGGTTGGAAGTTTCTTATTGGGGCTTAACAGACGTACAATTTTGTGAGAAAGGTGTAAAAACGAATGCAGTTGTGTATCAAAATACAGTCCTGACGAACCTTGTGGAACCTGTTTCTCATACCATGTTCAATAACAGGCACTGGGTATTCCAACAAGATTCGGCGCCAGCTCATAGAGCGAAGAGCACACAAGACTGGCTGGCGGCGCGTGAAATCGACTTCATCCGGCACGAAGACTGGCCCTCCTCCAGTCCAGATTTGAATCCTTTAGATTACAAGATATGGCAATACTTGGAGAAAAAGGCGTGCTCAAAGCCTCATCCCAATTTGGAGTCACTCAAGACATCCTTGATTAAGGCAGCCGCCGATATTGACATGGACCTCGTTCGTGCTGCGATAGACGACTGGCCGCGCAGATTGAAGGCCTGTATTCAAAATCACGGTGGTCATTTTGAATAAACTTTAGTGTCATAAGAATCTATGTTTTGTTAAGTTCATTTTGGTATCAAAATATCAAGTAACATAATGAATAAACTTCTTTCAATTATTTTATATTAAACATGTGACAGAATCTATGACCTGACTAGGTATATATATATATATATATATATATATATATATATATATATATATATATATACACATATATATATATATATTAATTGTATTGAATAAAACTACTTTTACGGATTCTATCGTGTTTAATTAACTTGTTTTTTATTGATTCCCGACGTTTCGGGTACTTTACAGCACCCATGGTCACGGGGTAGTGAGGTGATTGACGTCCCGATGTCAGAGTTAACCCGTAGTACCTTCAGCTTTTTTAATTATTAATTTTGGTCCGATCTTTGCAGAATGAACGCACTCGGCAATCAATGAAAAACGAATTAATTAAACGCGATATAATCCGTAAAAGTAAATTTATTCAACGTGTAGTGTTCGCGTTAATATAAGAAATCGTTATTTATTGTAATTAATTTTATAGTATGATCGAAAATAAATAAAATTATTTTGTTTATTATACATACAACATGCAACAAGTACTTTCTGTCATATAAGACTTATCCGATTTTTTTATGGTACGCGATTTTATATGTTGATTTATTAAATGCTTGAGGTGAAGTGAAGTGTTGCTAGAGCCAGAAAAATAACCTCGTTGACATTCACAGGATGATATGATGGGTAGTGGATTCGCCGCAGTTTGTTAGGCCTCCAATGCGCGGCAATCAGTTTTGATCATAAAACTAACCCTGTGTTGCCTAAAACTATTTGCAACCAACAAATTCGTTTTAGGCGCGTATGTGTGTGTGAGCCTAGCTTGTCTTCCGCGTAACTAAAAAAGTACCAAATGTACTATCACTCGATAATTTTTACGTTATATTCACTGAGCTAATTAAATGATTTTAGATGCCGTGTCCCTGATTGTGAAAACCAATACGCAGTTTATAACGCCACGTGGTGGCCCAACAGCACTATTGACAGATGCACAAGACCAAAACTAAAAGAGGACTTTGTAGTGGGACAAACTTGCACCAACGAAAGTTTCACAGATGGTGTCGAAGAATGCACTGATTGGGTGTACGAAACTAACAACACCGTCATAGCTACGGTAAGTTATATATGTATATATATGTTTAAGATTAGTCGCATCCATTGATGCCATTATTATTGATGTGATTATTAAATAAAAGTTATAAACTTCACGTACACAAAGAACTATATTTATTAACTTCACATTGTTTAGATATGTAATGATTACACACAGCGGTGATAGCGGACATTAGGTTACTACACGTTACCAATAAAAAGGAAGGAATAAGTTACATACTGTTAACAACTTAACAAACAAAAAATTCAGTACAGCCAACCTTAAATAAATGTATAAACATTGCCTACACAACAATTGTTAACAGCAAGCACACAATAATAAACGTGTTTACACTTTTACTAATAAAATTTTCGTAAACTTCACATACCCGTAATATAAAATTAACTAAATTTGACTAAATTTAAATATAAAATCAACTAAAGAGTAGCGGGTTCGTAATACAACACAGACATCCACCATAGTATAGTATAGAATACCTTGGTATTCTATACAATACCTAAAAATTTCAGGCAATGTATAAAGTATTATTCATTTCAAACTTTACCTAGGCATACAACACTGAATGTTAACCCGCAATATATAGAATAAGTGGTAACGGTATAGCGGGAGTGCAGTGCACGGTTTGTCTTAAGCAAAGACATTTAAGTAGTAGTAGTAATAGACCGGACATCAGAAGCAAAATTGTCGTCTCTAACTTATGTCCTATAGGATATATCTCCGATTTTTGTCATTTAGTCTTGTGACATCGTCAAAAAGTCAAGACGCATTCGTTTCATATATTTAAAAATATTTTTAAAGAAAATATGCCCGGTTGTGCATTAAGATATTGTAAATCACGATATGGAGCAGAAAATGAACGTGATTTCGGTTTATTATCGTAAATTTAACATATATTTACCGAATGATCTTTAAATTTTATTATTTCTAGTAGATTGTTCTAGAACATTTATTTTTATTGCAATAAGCGCCCTCTGTTATCCAGTAAACGTCACTATTTAGTTACCGATTTTAAAATTAGTGATTGACGACGTTTATCGATTGGGATTATCGATAAAAAAATTTACAGGATGCCGATTTAATCCTTTACAATATTTAGGGAGTTAAAACAGTCAACGATACTATACCCATACCAACAAAAATGAGTAGCATATACCAACTATGCTAAGTACCCTACTTTATGTGGAGCAAGGGTGGGAAGTTTTTTTTAGGCATGCTCATGAGATTTTCTGTGTTGCTTATGAGCATGCTATTTAGCAATACAGCAAGTCTTCTCTTTTACATACCAGGCTTCATTGTCTGTTGGTTTTACACCGGGCTTCATTGTCTAGTGGTTTTCAAGGACAAAGCCATTATAGATCGACGCTTACCAAGATAGGAGAGGGCAATAGATTTCTTACATTAAAAACAATTTGTACTGTTAAAGATATTAGATGCAAGAAGTTGTAGGTTAAGCCTGAGTTAGAAAATAAGGTAAAAACTTAAAATTACAATTTTTTATTGATGTCAGTATTGCCTTTAAGTACTGCAGCTGATAAAACGTGAAACATCGTGAAACGGCTTTTAAGATCAGTGTTTTCCTAAAATATTTTAGATTTGAAGTGTATTTTTGTAATAGAAACCAATTTAAAAACATAGTGGCGCTCTCTTATCGGATTTGGCGTTTCTCGATGTGTCTTTAACGCCGACCGGTAAATCATATGCTATTATTATAGCAGCTAATGGACCAAGTGACGTCATGCCACCAAGGTGGCAACCAAAGTGACTGCTGTTTGAATTGATTCTTAGTTATTGGAAATTGTCATGATAAATAGATTTATACGATAAAACAATCATGTATATTCCCTGTTATTATATCGAAAAGCATTTCAAACTTAGTAATCTTCAACGACATTATCGATACTTTGATATCGAAACGGTAACATTCCTAAAACGAGGTTATATGTATTAGCGTCACCTACTGGGGAATAGCTAAAATGTTGTCTTAATAAATGCTTAGCGTTGTTTTGCTATATTTAGCTAGAGGGTGCCACACGCGCACTAGCTCAAAGTTATTGTATATAAATGTTCCCAATGTCTGCTCTATAGTATACCTATATATTTAAATCTCTTTGGTCTTAAGATTTATGAAAATGACGCCCCCAATCAAGATAGGACTAAACGTAACCTAACCTTTTTTCACACGGGGACGCATACCCACCTCGCGGGGGCAAGCGCGGGTTATGTCGGTCTCGACCGACTAAAACACCATGGTGTTCCACATCATCATATACACACACATCGCTCATGTCACACACATCCCCACCCCTACCAGCGCTGGCCGCCCCATGCAGCCCCTCCTAAGGTGAGGATTACTCCTCCCCGTTTTGCTTCTCAAGTGAGGCGCACCAAGAACATAAGGCGCGCCTTCCTCCTTGGCCTCTAAAGTCACCTGCGTAACGGACCTCTCCGAGCCCGTTACGCAGACGCCATGAGGTCAGGAAAAGCAGCCCTCAGAAGCACCTGTTTGCCAGATAACAGCGGCGGATCTGGTCTAAGGATCCGCCGCAAACCAAGATTCTTGTGCTGTTAGCCATGTGGGTTCCTCTTCCGTTCCGTCAACTTTATTAAGTTATATGCTATTACATCAGCTTTTTTAAGATAAAAGTAAAAGCATAATTTTCGTTTTCATAATTTACGTGGTAGAACCATGCTGCAGCTATATTAGTAGTACAGTTGTAGCACGAATGGGTCGGCTCGACCGGGGAAGGACCACGCTCTCACAGAATACCAGCGTAAAATAGCAAATTAACGCTGCTGTGTTTCGTATGGTGAGTGTAGAGAACCAAAAAACCTTTTTACTGGAAAAGAGGCATTCTATCTTAGTCCTCACGGGTGACAACGCATGTGCATTTTGATTCGCAAACGAGGATAAATGTAGATGTCTATGGGCCACAGCAACCACTTACCATCAGGTGGACTGTGTGCTCGTTTGTCACCCTATCCTATAAGAAAAGCATACTTTTTTCAGCATAACTTTTGGGGAGGATAAAATAGCTGCATTACATATTCATAGTTTCATTATTATATCTGTTTCATTGAACATACCTATATAATTTATTATATACACTTTTATATTATACTACATATCTAAAGTTCCTATTGCATTCCCATTATATTATTTTATTATTATTTTGATAACATCTCTCTCGAACATACTGCTATTATAGCGTACACATCCTCGCGGGCGAGTCTAACCTCAATAGGCATTGCTGAAAACCAACGCTACCGCAACATTATATTGAACAATATGTTGGGTCTGTACCCTTTTCAGCATCACATCTTTCATACAATCGGGTTATTTTATGTCTGTTCTCTAATTATGACGGCTGCGAGGCGCAGTGGCTTAGCAATGAGTTCCAGCGCTTGGGGCTGCGGGTTCGAATCCCGCACGGAACAAGTATTTGTATGGTCTACAAATAATTGTTCCGGGTCTGGATGTTTGTCCTTGTGCAATTTATGTTTCTAAACTGCCTCCACGATACAAGAGAAAATCCTAGTGTGGGGGTAATGTTTTTAAAAAAATAAAAAATAAATAAAAAAATAAAATAAAATAATTATTTATTTTTATCATTGATATTTTTATGTATCATTTCATTTTCGGTATCAAAACTGTTGAGTGTAAGTCTTACTTCACCGCAGGTGACCAACCCGCAGCTACTAAGCCCCCCGCCACGATAACGGAAACCCGTCCGAGGGGGGCACCGAACCTTTTTTTATATGGGGAAATGCATACCCGCCTCCGGGAGGCAAGAACGGTTTTTGCCGGACTCACACCGACTAAAACACCATGATGTTTCACTTTCTTCGCATATTGGCAGGGCCACGGAAAGCTTCTTAATAAATGCATCATATTTTCCAACCAACCCCAACCTTGTATATTCGTCTTAAATGGCCAACTATCTGATAAAGACGCACTTCTAGAACATTCTCGATTCGCTACAACATATTTAAATCCCCTTCCTACCTTAAAACAAATTTCAATATCCTTTCTCCAACCACCACAGGGTACATCGCTCTACAGATAATCTGAAGATTTCTGTTCCATTCCGTTTTACTGACTTTATCCGCAATTATCTTTCTGTTCAGGCTACAGGTACTGTAAAACTCCTTGCCTAAATACTTTAGAAAAACACCTAAGGTATATGTGTATATATGTATGTATTTGTGTTAAGGATAATTGGTACATATAGATTATTTTTATTTGTTTGTATTCATATGTACATATTTGTGTAGATAATAGCCTTTATTTTAATGTGCTATTAATTAAAAAAATATTTATGTTATTATATTCAGTTATTCAAGTCACCTGTTACTAATTTCTCACCTCGCCATGAGTTGGCTGGCAGATAATGCTAACTGGCATTAAGTCCGCCCTTTGTAACTTTTATGGTTAGTTTATAAAGCAGCAAACCAATCGCAAAATGTAAAACTTCACATAATTGTTTTCGCAGCTCAATCTCGCCTGTCAGCCGTGGAAGTCTAATTTAATTGGGACCTTTCACAATGTTGGGATTCTGTTTGCAATGTTAATGTCTGGTTGGCTGATAGACAGGTAAGAACCTAAATATTTTTCACGTGTTTTCTGAAAGATAAAATTGCTGACATCCATCTTCTGTATCAATTTAACTATGGACTCGCGTTTGCGGAGTACGTTCTACGGGAGTACAAAGTCGAAGGTTGGTCTGAGGTAGAGTTATATTACATACAGGAAGCTAATAAGTACCCTTGGGTACAGAACAATAAATAGCAATATACTGTCATATTATGTTGATAATAAATAAAGTTTACTGAGTACGACGATAGACAGTCCACGTATTCTTGAGACAGTTTTCCTTCAGTAACATTTTAAATACATTACAGCAATGAATCATAATAGTAAATGCCAATACTTGACAGCGGTCCCACCAAAAGTTAGCTTAACCAAAAGTTTAAAACTGTCTTGAAAGCACTCACTCGTACAATGTAATCGAATGCAAATTAGCAAATTATTCTATTTGTTTTTGTATGCATTACGAATAACGAATCAAACCTTTTAGTTTTAATGCGTCTATACGGACAGCAATGGGGTAGAGGCGAGCGCTGATAGTCGTATATTTTTTTTATAGGATTTTGTGACAAACGAGCACACAGTCCACCTGATGGTAAGTGGTTGCTGTAGCTCATAGACATCTTCATTTGAGGACTAAGATGGAATGCCCCTTTTCCAGTAAAAAGGGTCTCCGGTTCTCTACATTCACCATATGAAACACAGCGGTGTTGAGTTGCTATTTTACGCTGGTATTCTGTGAGAGCGTGGTCTTTCCCTGGTCAAGCCGACCCATTCGTGCTACAACTATACTACTAATATAGCTGCAGCATGTCTCTACCACGTTACAAAACGTGGTAGAGCCTACACGTATATGGACGAAGGAGGAAAGAGTCATAACAGGCGCGCAGATTTTTGATAATTTATCCTGTATTACGCATATGACTAAATCTGAAAGATTGGTTTTAGTCAATTGCCAGCATAATATATGCGTTTTAAATTTATTACTGTTTATTTATTTCTCAATAGTGTTTTACCTAACTCTATTGCACTGTTTCATGTAAAAAAAAAAATTCTGTATGTACTACAAGTATAAAGTTTAATAAATTATTATCATTTATTTTTAATACTAAATAAAAAAATTCTTGTATTTACCATTATTTGGGAATACCAGTTAGTATTAGAAATTATTCTGGTGTTAAAAATATATAAAATTTTCATTGTTATAAATAATAATATTGTGAGTTGCGGTATGTTCAACTGACTGTTTTGATTACGAAATTATTCATCATAAGCAATAAAACAGAAAACTGCACTAAACATTTAATATAATGCAATTACAATTTGACCATACAGTAATATCACTATCATCATTACAGCCCTTCACAAGTCCACTGCTGGACATAGGCCGCCCCCAAAAAATGCCACAAAGCACTTTTCTGAATTATCTGCATCCATAATCTTTCTGTATTTTTAACGAGATCGTGTCTCCACGCAGTGTGGGGTAGCTCTTCACTTCGAAATTATTCGAAACGTTGGAAATATAAAAGAAATAAGTTTATATATGCAATAAAATCCGTAAACTAGTTTTATTTAAATGTTTAATGTTCGCGTAAATGTAAGAAGTCACAATACCACAGTTGTCTCGCCCCTAAACGAGGCATCCTTAGGTGAAGTAGACTCTACAGAGGCTGACCGCTTACGGTCAGTTATCTTGGTATGCATAATTAATCACAAAGTGCATTCCTTTTCTTGACATAACATCTAATATTTTTTTCTTGACGTGACCAAGACCTGATAAATGTATGTGCAGGTTCGGCCGTAAACCGATATTAATTATCTGCTCTGTGGGAAGTTGCATTGGAAATCTAAAGGCTTTTACGTCATCGTACTATGCGTACGTGTTTATTGAAATGCTTGAAGCAACGATAAATGGTGGCACGAATACGGCAGCCGTGGTTTTAAGTAGGTAACAAAAATATTATTTAAATTAATTGAAACGGATTTTACCATATGTTTATTATTTTTGATTCGAGCAAAAATTCTGAAGCTGTAACTGTCCGCCTGAGGGCTGTAATGTAAATGATGAAGAAACACTGGACAACTTCATCATCATTCACATAACACCCCATTTACAGGTCCCACAAGTCCACTGCCAAACATAGGCCTCCCACAAGGAATACCACAAATCACGATCCTGGGCCCTCTACACCCAACGTATTCATGCCTTACTAGATCGCTTCTTCTAGTAGAAGGCCGCACTTTACTTCACTTACCGATACAAGACTGCCTTTACCTTTACGCGCCTTTTCTCCAAACAGTTAGTCAGCTCAAATTTTCGAGTATGGTGGGCTATAGGAATGACAATGATGAAGATGAAATATAATATACATAGATACGAATTAATATATTGCTTAAGAGCGTTTGAGCACTGATTCCGATCCGAGCCCGGGTTAATTCGATAAATGTTAATCCAAAATATTCGTAGCTATATGTATTAGGCGTTGCGCATTATATTTGAATTCCGTTTTACGAAGTCGAAAATATCTCTATTTCGAATCATCATCACGAAACAAAGTAACCACAGTACAATAACACTGCCAAAATTTAACGGCGATTGAAAAAACATAATGAGATACTATAGCACTGTATATATATATATAGGAAAACTGTTTAATCCAAGTGTGCAAGCAACAAATGCGTTTTTCCATCAGATAAATTGCATAATCGACCTCCAAATTAAGTCAGAGTTCTTTAACTTTAAGACGCCCATTACACGCCTAGGCAAGCGTCAATCAGTTCGATCAATCATGATTGACGTTTGCATTATAGAATAATTTCGATATTACACGCTTATGCTGACTGATGTCAGTCAAACCCAAATTTTCGGAGTGAAAGGACCTACCTTTAAACTAAGTTTGTTTTCGATTCACCATTTAACTGTAATTTAATATCTTGAAAAGAAAAAGAAAAAAAACGACTAGGAAAAATTGTAATATTTAATATCATTTTACCCATTTTAATTTAACGCGTGCCAATGTTCGACCTCTTGGAGCGTATAATCGATACGCGGCTTTAGTTGAAATGCATTTATGGACGAAAAATAAGCTTACTATATACCATAAGTTATGACTTTTTCATTTATGTTCTTAAGTTATAGTAAAATTAGTATTACTAAGTTGTTGTTGATTACATTCATTGTTTGTTTTTGTCTTTCTCAAGAAATAACTAAATATTGTATTGTGTTCTTAACATATACCAAATGTCTGAAAAGCACGTACGTATCATTTGTTAAACTTTTAAATCAAAAACCAATTTTAAAATACAGACGAATTGATCATAACTTCCTTAACTATAAAATAAGTTATGTTCTAATTAATGATATTTATTCCAGTTTATGACAGTCCTGATTTATATTACGTGGCTGAAATTAGGTACTTCTTATTATGTACGTCAAACCAAATAACAGCCGGGTGGCTGACATTAAGCACTCCATACATTTCGTATATCTAATTACAGCCCCATTAATTTCCACTAAAATAAAATAAAAAACTTATAGATTTAAACAAAAATAGCTGCATTACTATTTCTATGGTTACATTCACACAAATCAAAAAGCCTAAAGATGAGCTAATATAAAATATGCTTAATTGTATCGAGACAATAACTTGTCAAAAATTAGGAAAATGGGCGTATTTCGTTGTGTCCGTGTTTTGATTTTTAATTTAACACTGTTAGGCTTAAAACTGTGAGGTAATATTTGAAATATACTTTCCTCTAGTTACAAAGAATTTTTTAACCGACAATATTTGTAGTTAAAACTACTGTTATTTTTATTTTTAATTTTAGTGATAGAAATTGCCAGTAAAAACAGAATTCTAGCTGGAGTACTTTTAGCGTACGCTACGTACATGGGAGAATTAACTTTCGCTTGTATAGCAATGTTCGTGCCTTACTGGAAGGACTTGATCCGAATCATTTACATTCCTCCTATCATATTCATTTTCTACATATTCCTCCTGAACGAGAGTACACGATGGCAAATACTAAATGGACGGACCGAAGACGCGAAAAATATACTTCTACGTATATCGAAAGTCAATAATATCAAAATAAGCAAACAAAAATTAGCAAATATAAACGAAGAAGACCTCAAGAAACAGTTCAAAATAGAGAATTATGAACATAAGGAAAGTTTTAGAGATTTACTGAAATCAAAAGAGATTTTGAAACGTGTATTAGTTGGAGCCTTCTGTAGATTTACTGCAAACTTTATTTATTATGGGTTAATGTTGAATTCGGTGTATTTGCCCGGAAATAAGTACACGAATTTCATGCTATCTACAGTAATATCGTTCCCTGGCGAGCTAATATCAATGTATTTGATGAACAGAATAGGAAGAAAGCTTCCAATGATGTACGGTTATTTTATTTGTGGATTACTCTGCGTGGCTTCTGCATGGATTCCTGAGGGTAAGAATTTTTCCGTTTTGTAGACTAAAGGACAGACAACTTTTAAACTCAGAAGCTAAAGATTGGAATTTAATTACTACTAAAAATCTGTTTCAGCACCAGTCATAAATTCTTACTTCTATTAGTTATTCTTGTTAGTTCCTTCAATTTACTGTTAGAAAAAAGTTATTTTAGGAATAAGTAAATGACTTATATCCTGTAAGAGTTTCCCTGAATACCCTGAATTAATTAGTTTTGTCTTGTATAAACAAACCTGTTTCGTTGTAAACCTTTAACTGTGGACATGGGGCCACACAGACCTTGCGCACTTGCTGGTTTCTTAGAATAACATATTTTACACTACCCATCGCGGATGGGCATCTCAGTAGCTTCTAGTTTAGTTACCAAACGCTCGATGAAGAAAGAAGTTGTGTTGTCCAGTTCCAAATATGTAAGTTACACGTATTCAAAATTTAGACCTGGTCTGTTCTCACAGACCCCATATCCATATTTCCTCCTTGTATATTTATATTGCACCACCTACCACCTACCTATTCATTGTTTTATTGTTTTATACCTTTGGTTGCCTGGAATAGATTGCTTTGTTGCGATAAGGCCGCCAAATTGTACATAATATAATTTGAATTTTGTTATGTCATTTGTATATTTGTTCGTGGTGTACAATAAAAGTTTATTCATTCATTCATTCATTCTTCAAGAAACAATATTATGCCACCTTTACTTTTGTTTTATGGTGCCTTTTCATGCTTGCTAAGCCTTGGCAGATTTTTTTTAGAACGTTACCCCCACACTGGGTTTTTCTCCAGTATCGTGGAGGCAGTTTACAAATATAAATTGCACAAGGACAAACCATCCAGACCCAGAACAATTATTTGAAGGCCATACAAATACTTGTTCCGTGCAGTATTCAAACCCGCAGCCCCAAGCGCTGGAACTCATTGCTAAGCCACTGCGCCACAGAGCCGTCGAAGGGCGCTTGCGGCAAGCGCCTTTTGATCTGTGTCCAAAAACCGACACTAGACCTGATGGGAGACAAGTGTCCACAAACTCACGCAAGCCAAGACAAACGCCCTCTTTACACGCTTGTACGTGTGGACGTTTGCCGAACCCTGGCAAGCATGGAATAGCAACATTAGATTTTTGTTGTCTAAAGTGACCGAAAGTAGCCAACCAAGTTCTTCCGGGTCAAAAAGACCATTAGAACAAAAAATTGCAGCACAAAGACCGACAAAAATATTGCGTTAAGACATTCCGTCTTCTGATGGTATTTTTTCGAATTATTGGCTTGAGCGGTATCAATGTCAGCATTTTATATATTTAAAATCAAAATAAGGAAATAGATCGAGGTATCTTTATAAAGAAATATGCTCGTTTCCTAGTAGTCTCGCATATGCAAAGACCAAAGTATTACCGAGAAAATTGAGAATCACCATAAAGCGCGCCCTAGGTGGTGACGCGCCTCCAAATCATACCCAAACTGAACAAGAACAAAAAGGGAAGATAAAATCTTGTAACTTATGTCCACCAAGACTCCACAGGACTGCCTACAAATGTGTAGCATGCAAAATTCCAAAATGTCTGCAACTTTCAAACCTCCTGTGTAAGACATGCCAATAATTATAGGGCAATTGACCCTCTGTCAGATTCTTTTCGTTTGCAGTTCAGAATGAAGATTTTTGTTTTTTTAATTGAAAATTTATGAGATTTTGGGAAAAAAATATAATTACGTTGAGTTTTGAAAGAAATAATTAGTTTTTTGAACTTCAAATGATCTCAGTGCCAATTAAGACTGAAAAGTGCCTTTTCTTGATCTTTTTGTAATTTATGTGATTTCTTATAAATGTTCCTCATATTTACTTAAAATCCTATTACTTATAATTCAAGCATCCATTGTAAATTCATTTTTATTTAATTATTTGCTGAATTAATATCAAATGAACCTAAACAATGTAGGAGTCTGTTAGACCCCATGCCCATGCTAGTATAAAAAATAAGTGTCGTTAGTTAAAGGTTAACAAATATTTAATTCTAAGGTCTTGTATTTCTTTCCCTTTCGCTGTCTCTCCCTCTCTCTCTCTTTCTCTTCACATTTAAAATAATGTCTCAAGCCGTAAATATTTCATTTGTAGGACGCGTGTGGCTTAAAATATCCCTCTTTCTATTCGGCAAGCTCCTAGTATCCGTATGCTTCACTGGAGTTGTCACGTACTCAATGGAGCTGTTCCCTACCAGCGTCCGGGGTACCTTACTCGGAGTGTGCGCAGTGGCTGCCAGGACTGGGAGTATCATTGCACCTTTAACACCAATTCTGGTCAGTATACATGGTTTTTATACATGATAACAAAGTGTGTGTGTGTGTGTGCGTGAGCGTGTGCGTGTGGGTGTGCGTGTGCGTCTGCGACTTTAATCAGTATCGGAATCCACAGCGTTGATATATCAAATGACTAAGACGCCCATTACACGGTAGGTTTTGCTGTCAGTTTTACAACAATCACGGTTGTGATTGACGAATAACCTATCGTGTAATGCGGTGATTGACGGTTGCATGAAATTGATTGACAAATATCTGGATATTTTGATTTTTACGTCAATCAACTATCAGTCACGAATTTTGATTGAACGTGTAATGGCATTTCGTCAATCACGTGTCAGTCAACGCTTAGACAGCAATGGAGGCGGACGCAGAATATATTGAAAAGGCTGCTACTACGCGCTCGCGCAGCCCGTCGCCACTCCCACCAAATGTGTTTCAGCCAGAAAAAGATTTTATTTTAAATTTTCAGTCTCTCCCCGAGTTGTGTGTGTAAGTTGGATGCCCCTAATACCAGCCACGCCCCTAATTCCAGCCTTTCCGCCTTTTTACTTCGTAAATAAGATTTCTAGTAATCTTAACTACAAAATATGGTCGGCTAAAAATTCTTCGTAATTAGAGGAAAGTATATTTCAAATATTACCTCACAGTTTTAAACCTAACAGTGTTAAATTAAAAATCAAAACATAAGCATATTTTACATTAGCTCATCTTTAGGCTTTTTGATTTGTATGAATGTGACTATAGACATAGTAATGCAGCTATTTTTGTTTAAATTTATAAGTTTTTTATTTTCTTTTAGTGGAAATTAATGGGGCTGTAATTAGATATACGAAATTTATGGAGTGCATAATGTCAGTCGCCCGACTGTTATTTGGTTTGACGTAAATAATAAGAAGTACCTTATTTCAACCATGTAATATAAATCAGGGCTGTCATAAACTAGAATAAATACCATTAATTTGAACTCACACAGAAAACCAACGTAGAATAGCAGCTTAACGCTGCTGTGTTTCGTATGGTGAGTGTAGAGAACCGGAGACCCTTTTTACTGGCAAAGAGGCATTCCATCTTAGTCCTCACGGGTGACAACGCATCTGCATCTTGAGTCTATATTGAGGATAGATGTAGATGTCTATGGGTCATAGTAGCCACTTGTCATCATGGACTGTGTGCTCGTTTGTCACCCTATCCTATATAACTCACCATACGAAACACAGCAGCGTTAAGCTGCTATTTTACGCTGGTTTTCTGTGAGAGCGTGGTCCTTCCCCGGTCGAGCCGAGCCATTCGTGCTACAACTATACTACTAATATAGCTGCAGCATGGCTCTACCACGTTAAAATACTTGTGACATGCATGATTTAAAATTAAAAGTTGTTATGAATTTATTTCAGTGCCCCTAAAACTTACCTACAATAGGTACCTACTAAAAACTCAAAAGGCATAGCCCTATGTTATGCTGCCATTAGGTACACAAAAGGAAATTGAAATTGGCACTAAAAGGCTGGTAATAGGGGCATCCACCCTATACGAATAAATGTAAAAGTTAAGCTTATTTTTCGTCCATAAATGCGTTTCAAATAAAGCGGCGTAATGATTATGCACTCCAAGAGGTCTAACATTTGCGCGCGTTAAATTAAAATGGGTAAAATGATATTAAATATTATAATTTTTCCTATTCGTTTTTTTTCTTGTTCTTTTCAAGATATAAAATTATAATTAAATGGTGAATCGAAAATGAACTTAGTTTATAGGTAGGTCCTTTCACTCCGAAAATTTGGGTTTGACTGACGATCAGTCAGCATGAGCGTGTAATGTCCAAATTATTCCATCATTCAAACCTCAGTCATGATTGATCGAACTGATTGACGCTTGCCTAGGCGTGTAATGGGCGTCATACAGTTCCACCGGCACATGGAAGAAAATGCTAAATTGGGCTCTAAAAAGCTTAATGTGCTCAACAGGGCAAGACGTAATTTTATGGCGCCCATAGCTTAGTACCTATAAATAATAATTGGTTTTCACATTCATTGGGTTATCAGCGGTGTTTCGTTAACCGATACACACCTCTCATCGGGGGGTCGTAAGCCCGTAAGAGAATTCATCACCCCATTTCGTCCTGTGGGTGTCAGAGGTAAGTATGGGAAATGCTAAAAGGATCTTATGGTATCTGATACATGGTAATAAAACTATTTCATATATCCAAAACTAGCGAAGGAAAGCTACATCAAAGGTGTGAACCGTCTGGTACTGCGATCGTCAATGCGTGGTAATAAGACAATCCCTGCTATTATAGGCGAAGCCCATGTCAAACTGAAATCTTTGAGGGTATGGAGAATAATCACAAGTTGCCTGTATATTAACGGTGTAGGACTCAGCCACGTGCATGCGATTGGCAAGCCTTTTTCAAAGGTGTTACCTTTATCGCTAACCATGTGGCCCTAGCATTGGATCTAATACTATTACCATACTACTAGCCAAAGGCGAATGTTATGGGGAAAAGTTTTTTTATATTATACTGCATTAGTATGAAAATGGGACCATATATTTTAATGCAGTAGAGCCACGCTGCAGTGTATTGTAGCTGCAGCACATACTCTACTAAGAAATATCCAAGATTGCTGCGTATACCAGCACAAAAAAACCGAATATACAAAACTCAGCAATACTAGAAACAGGCACCCTTTTTTCCGGTAAAGTGGCATTCCACCTTAGTCCTCAAAGGCTTCATTTTAATTCTAAAGAATAAAAAATATGAAGATGTCTATTGTACACATTATATATATACATATATACATATATATATATATATATATATATATATATATTTTTTTCAGAACACAGTCTTCCCCGTCCTTACATCGATGTTTTTCGGCGGCTTCGCCATTATCGCTGGAGCTCTCCTGACTCTAATGCCTGAAACAAAAGACTTGCCGCTGATGGATACGGTAGAACAAATAGAGAGAAGCACAAAACTACGAGAAAAAAGAAAAAGATACTTAAGTACGAAAGGCGAAGAAAGTAAATATTTATTTGATGTAGCATAAAATGGCGACATTTGTTAAGAAAATATGGACAACAGTGAAGTGCTTAAAGTTTATATTTTGATTAAAGTAATGAAATATATCAATAAATGTGTAAAGTTGCAGTAAAAATATTATTAAACCTGATCTTTCGGATTTTATTATATATTTTATTAACTCTTTACAGCTGTTTGGGTCGAATTTAGTAATTAGTATAAATTTACTTCCCAATGAGTTAGAGACTTGAAATTTTGAACATACCTCAGAATCTGATGACAATGTAAGATTAATAATGTGTAGGAACAAAACGTGGTATATTAAGTAAAATTGTTTATTATTCGTTTTTATAAAATTTACCGAGTTACACTCAAGTAATAACCTTAGAGTATGTACATACATATTATATGTATTCATAGAGCAAATCTATAATGCTACATAAATTGAGTATAGAGAATACCGCGTAGCGGCGGTGTAAGAATATCCACTACCCACTAACCATTAAGTAACTACTACCAAAGAGAATATAATCACTACGTTTAACTACTACCATATCAATTCACACCTACAAATGTCAGGAATTCACACATTTGTTTTGACGTCAAAGTCATTGCCCAATTTTTGTGTCAAGCATTGCTGGGTGCAATACATTTTAAAAATGCCGAATTGTGCGATAATTACATGTCGGTAAAACATCCGGATGTAGAATTTGACTAAAAGTGGTATATCCTTTCATCAGTAAGTCGAAACTATTTATATTTTGTGCATATTAAAACAAAAACAATGAAATAACAAAGAATAAAACCGCAGCACTACGGATGTAACAAATTTATTATTGATACCGGTAAACTGGGAAATATTGTTGCTTTTAAAATTGTACTTAGTACTAAGCTAAATAGGAGCTACTAAATACGATGAAAAATAGTAATTTAATGACCTACGAATAAATTGTTATAACATTTTTTATTTAATTGTAATTTTGATCCCTCTGTAGGATAGGTATCATTGAAAATTATCAATAAAGTTTTTAAAGAGGATGTGATAGCTTGAAACCATGGACCAGAAGATCACCAGCTGATCAACCCCGAAGAAAACCGTATTGGCGGTCACTAATCAGCTGGTGATCCTCAAGGTACCGCATGAACTGGCAGTTAATAATGGATTCCATTATTTTGGAGAACAAGGAGGTGATGGCGATAGGCCTGTAGCTGGACGGGTCTGAGCGGTTGCCTTTTTTAGGGATCGGGTGGATAAAAGCTGTCTTCCATGACTACGCATAGGGAGTAGGAGTACCGGAAAAGACGCGTTAGGACCGGTGCCAACGCCGGAGCACACGTCCTCAGCACAATTGGGGGGATTCCGTCAGGCCCACTCGACTTGTGGATGTCCAGGGAGAGGAGTGCTTTGCGAACCGAGCGTTATGAGAACCGCACATCCGGCATGGAGCACTCACACCGCGGGATGGTCGTCTGTGTTTTCCCCCTGTCATCAAGAGTCGATTTGGACGCAAAAAGGGAGCCTAAAAGGTCGGCTTTGTCTTTTGCGGCTTGGGCCAGTGAGTCGTCCTCCCTGTGCAGAGATGGTAGTGATGGCTTACAGAAATTCCTTTTGACAGCCTTGGCGAGAGACCAGAATGCACGGGTTCCCAAAGAAAGACGATCTAGTTTCTCGCCAATTCTGCCTATGTGCCCTGACTTTGCCTTGGCAATAACTCTTTTGAAGATCCAGGAGACGAAGTTATACTTCTTTTTAAGTATGCTGGTGTCCAGTATACAAGGAGTGTCATGTATCCAGAGTCGCCAAAGCCGCAGCCCAGGCTTGATAACACTCCTGCTTACTGCGTAATGCAGTCTTACAGGAGCGACCAAACCAAAGCTGAGATCTGCCTCCGATGGGTAACACATATGATGGAATAAATAGTTCTAATTCCTGTAGCACCACATTAGTGACAGAGTCAACAACAGCGCTGGGATAATCCGGCGAGAAGCAAACCCGCCCCCATGGGTAGTATGCAAAGAAAAACCGCATTCCGTCCCAATCCGCCGACCTGTAATGCCAAACACGGTGGCAACCTGCAGGACGCAACCGCGAGGGGAGCGTGAGTAATACCACACTCCGGATCAGACAATAGTCCGAAAAGCCGAAAGGAGCATCAACGGAAACCTGATATCCGTTCGGATGAGAGGTAATCAGAAGGTCCAACAGGGAAGGTGTATGATCCTCAAAGTCCGGAATCCGCGTAGGCGAACTAACCAGTTGTGTCAGACCATATGCCAAGGCAAAGACATAAACAGATCTCCCCGCATGATCGGTTAAACGTGAACCGAGCCATTCGGCGTGGTGGGCGTTAAAATCGCCAAGGATCACGATCTCTGTGAATGGGACCTGTTGTAGCAAGGAATTTGTAGCCATTTGGACGTGGTCGATGAGTCGGTCTGTTTCGGCATTACCGCTATGGAACCTATAGAGGCACCCGTAGACGCGCGGATGGTCGCCGCTGTCTACGCGTAGCCATAGGCTGGACAGGTCCGAACCTTCAAGACTGCCGAGGCGTCGAAAACAGATGTCCTCTCTGACATACACGCAAACTCCAGCCCGAGGCACAAAGGAGTGCTCCAATTTGTACCCCGGGTAGGAGAGATACGAAGTATCAGCCTGAGAGGACACCTGCGTCTCGGTTAGAAAGAGCAGGGCTGGCTTCGCCGTCTCGAGATGGTAGTGGACGGCGTTTAGGTTGACATTGCAGAAATTCACCGATAGCGTGGCAGGGGACGCCTTGGTATTGTTGCGCAGTTTTCCCCGAGCATTTATACGTGGGGCAGCCTGAGCACCCACGCTCAGGAGTGGAATAACATGGTCGTGGATGCTCAGCGAGGGATTCTCCAGGGGTGCTGGTACCCTCCTGGGGTAGTCTATGGTGTAATTCCGCTAGCATGTTGATGGAAGGGGGGGGGGAGGAATTGGGCCTCCGGCCACCGGCACTCACCAGACGAAACGCAGAAGCAGAGCTTCTAATTCACGCCGGTATTCTGTGAGGTCGTGGTACCAACCCGGCCCGAGCCGGCCCTTACGTGCAACAGCAAAAATTGCCGCGTGGCTCTACCACCGTCGATATATTAGTAGTATTGTTATTACTCCCCGCTGTATCGTGCCAAGAACGCTGGCTGCGTTTCTCCTCTGAATGGCTATACATCGCCTTTGAGCGAGAAAAGAACCAGCCCTCTTATCACCAGCAGCAACGACTAGCCGCGGATGGAGTCCCTTTAAGAAATTCACCGCACTTGGACCCCACGAACCGATAGTCTCTATAGCAAATGAAACAAATATGTAGTCATCTCTCAGATACTTATATTTGCGCCATATACTGAGTTCAGCTACATCTGATGCCGCCCCGGCTCTAAACGAGGTACCCCTGAGATGAGAGGCCGCCAGAGTGTCTAAGCAAGTAGCATCCCACACTAGGGCTTTACCTCTCTCCCAAGGGACCAATTTCATACCGTTGGATCTCCTGCCATCGTCTCTAAATATTCCACAAGGCTCTAAAACCGATCTTATTTATAGAGATAAGAGCCCTTCGGATGACATCGTTCAAAGAACCGTGTCGTGAAAAGCTAAACTACTACTACTACTACTACTACTATGTCATAGCCCAAACCTGAAATTGTGATAGTGTCTCTGTAAATTGTACCACAAAAATGCACAGCTTGTAAGGTAGTGATAAACTAATTACAGATTGACACATGACCTATTTGGGCTTCTACTTGCAACTCGGCGGAAATTTCAAAATAAGATTTTGTCTTTTCACACAAGTATTGTTTACAACTGGCGTGGTTTCGAAAAGCGTGATTAAGTGTCAGCGGTATATAATCAATTAAATACTGAACTTTTTTGAAATTTATTTTTTTGTTTATTTTTGTTATATCTTCTTAAAAACTGACGCCATCTCACTATTTTATTATTGGTTTTTTTTTGTAACGCATAAGGATAAGTTAGACTAAGTTAGATTAACTTGGATAAGTTTATAATTTTTTTAAATTTATCACAAAATTTCCACAATAAATTATTACCTTATCTACTGTGATTCTCTCCTCTTAGTTTCGGCGTGACTGTAGGATGTTATAGTGAGTCACCGTCAGTTACTAAGTGGCCATAAATCATTATATGTATGTATAGACATACATACATACAGACATACATACATACATTTTTTGATTTTAATATTTATGTTTTTTTGAATTTTGATTGATTTTTTGAAACCTGGTAAAATTATTTTTTCCATACCAATTGATGGGCCTGAGTATAATGCCAGTTATGCTCTTTGGCTGAAGTTATTTTTTATTTTATGCTCAATTGCAGACAAAACAATAATGATTATGCATTTCTAAAACAAAATTTTACCTCTTCTCCTTCTAATAATAGCTCCTGCACCTAACACGGCGGAATAGTTATTATTATCTATAAGAACATTTGCGGAAACAGTTTTTGTTAACAGTTCTGAGTGTAACATTTTATCAGTTGCTTTGTTTATAGTGCCTTGAGCAACACTTTGCCGGTTTCTGTACAGAAAATGATGCTGGCTTTGCAAATATGGATGGCCGCTACCATTGAATATAATACCCTCTATGTTACACTTATTTACATAGAAACTTTAACTATCATTTGCATAAAATTCTAAATAGCACTTTTTACGCAAGAAAGTAAACAGATTTTTTTTATAATTTAGATCAGTCCATCTTGTTTTTTACTAATTAAGTAAAAAGTAAAACAAACCAATAGGGCAGTGATTTAAAATTTCTTGCAACTTTTTATCGAAAAGCATGACCTTATCATAATATAAAAGTCAATCATTTAGCCATGTGATAAAACTTTTAAGTGTGCCAGTCAAACATTAATGATGATATTCGTGTCATTATACTGGAAATAGTCTTTTAAATATTTTGTAGTACAATTGATAATCTTCAGTATGGTTGACCGTGTATATGACTTTTATAAGTCTATGTTATTTTTGACGGAAATTATTATTGCAG